GTTCGAGTTCACCTTGGACCCCTCGCCTGCTCCCGCCCCTCCTCTCCTGCTTATCGCGAGGCTGTGCAAATCAATAATAATCGTATTGACTGAGTGCAGCAATGCAGATCAAGAGGTCGCTTGCTGCTCGCGCAGTTATTATTTGCATGGCGCATCCAGCTGATGGGTTCTCCCCAGTCGCTATAACTCTTCCCAGATTGCAACCGCAGAATGCAGAAAGAACAGAATGCAGTCGGCAGTCGGTGGACTCCATGCCGAAAGGTCATCGCGATCATTTCCGCATGATTACCAATGCAATTCGTTGTCGTTCGTGCTTTTGCCAAGAGATCAGAGAGTCGGAGCCGGAGCTCGGAAATCGGAGAGCGCTGCTCGAAGTCGAAGCGCTGCTTTGAGTCAGAGAGAGCCTCAAACTTGCTCCAAGTCTACACTGGATCACCGAAGCTCAGGCTGGGGCAATGGTTGCGCCTGCGCCGTAACGGGGTAATGTAGGGGTAAAAGCGGGGCAAGCTCTCAGTGGAACTTGTTTCCAGACAGGGGTAACAAAACCCCTGCCAAGCTATGGGCAGGAGAAACGGTGGTGGGTTTCATTTGGCAGGGGTTAAGCCTGGGGTAAAAGTCTACACTGTCAACTGAAACTGTAACTTCCCCTGCAGATGGAGGAGGAGCAGTGTGGATTCTTTCTCTTGTTCGGTGTTACTCCTCTTGCTTGGGGGATCTGTGTAGATTCTAGGGGTAATGCTGCTCCTCTTTCTTTGTAGAGTCCACCAACGATAGGGCCACTCAATGATGATCGATGATCGATGAACGGTGAACGGTGGCTCCTTTGGACTTCAATGAGTTATTGTTGTGGTGCGACCCGTGCACCTATCATAAGTGGCAGATTTCGCAAATGAAGCTGCGGCAGTGTCCGCCCAATATCTTCTTTCTGTTTTTTTTTTTGGCGATAGGCCAGGAGTTGAAGATTTTGCAATTGCCTGCCGAGCGTTGTCAACATATCATTTGTCACTGCAACGATAGGGAGAGCGAGAGAGCGAGAGTTCGCGACTGCAGCTACGAACTGGTATCCGGCTGCGCTTTGTGGCTATCGCTGGTTATTAATGAAGTTGCCAAATGCCACATGACAGTGGGAGAGGGGGCAGCCACATGGGCAATTAACCTGCTAATTAAATGACTGCCACGGTAGCTGTAGGAGCTGCTGTACAGGAAGCTCCACCTCGACTGCGCATGTGTTTTATTCCCCGTTATCAAGCCATGCCAATCAGCCAAAAAAGAAACACAACACACACACACTCACACACACACACACACACACACACACGAAAGATATTTCGCTTAAGCCGCAGAAGATGCCTCGTGAATCGCCGACTCGCTGGACTTGAAAATGCGAGGCGACATTTTCTGTTCTGCCTGTGGATGCTACTCCTGCTGTTGCTGCCACTTCATTAAGTCCGAATTGATGAGTTCAATTAGGCAACAAGGCAACCCAAGCAGCAGAGAACTGGGGTTCCAGCTGCACAGACCCAATTCTGCGCGGCTTCCAGGCCAGTCAAGTAATTAGCGCAGAGATTTTGTTGGCTTTTTTTTTGTGGTTTTTTTGGCTTTTTTTTGGTGCTCCTCAAATTGCCAAAACTTGTTGGCCGACAAACAGACTTGAGTTGGGCTCCAACTCACCTGCCACATCCCGAAGTTTCACTTTCGCAGCAAATTGTGAAATCAAATGAATATGAAATTCCAAAGTTTTGCAGCTTCGAAGTTTCCGTTCTGTTCCGATTGCAGCTGCTGCTGCTGCTGGTCTCGGACATTCGTAGAATTTTGGGCTGTCTCATATATATTCGGGAGTCCTTAATGAGCTCGTTTTGGAAATGGTATTCCCGTGTTAAAACATTGATTCGATTGGCGCGCTTAAAAGGTGTCGCCGACCATAAACCTCAAGCCCAAAAACCCAACCGCAGAACCCAAATGAAAATTAACCGAAATGATTCGCTTTTTTTTTGTAGTCATAAAAGTTTTTGGTCGAAGTATAAAGGAAGAATCAAAAGGCGCCGTATCCCTTTTTTTTGTTGTGCGGCTATCATTAACGCTTCATTCTCCTCCAAAAGGCACCGAAATTCGCTTATTTTTTCAGCTGCCTCTACCGCTCTCTCTCTCTCTCTCTCTCTCTGTGGAACTGTCAGCTTTTATGTGGGGGCTTATGGTTTAATTTTAATAGGTAATGCCCGTTTAGCAGCGCTGCCACAAATGGCTCTCAATTCATTAAAATTTCGGCCATGGATATATTTTTATATCCGTAACTGTCGCTTGCGGGCTTGGGGCATTGGGTTCTCAGTCCCACACTTGGGCCGTGTGAAAGGTATTTTTGTAATTTTTAAATTTCTCTGCGAAAATAATGCGCAGCGAATTTTGGATCATGTAATTGCTGCACCACTTTCCAAGAGAACTTCGGAAGAAGAGTTCAAAGCAACAAAAGAAACTCGTGAAGAGGTCAGAAACTGAAAGTTCTTCTCTCTCCGTTTCACACGACACGCCCCCTGAGAGCGAGTTCCCTTACGAGCAGAATGCGAACCATCCATCTCCTCATTTAAATCTCTCCAAACGTTTGGGAATTTCGCAAATCGCAAATAAAATATTTCCCACCCGCTCACTTGCCGCTCCCTCACTCCCTCTTCCTTCCCATTAGCGGACAGACCAACATAATAATCCCCCATTTAAGTTCACACGACACTTGGACGGTTAGTTGGTCGCACCCTCACATGGTCTCAGTTTCACGTTCCATTCCCAGTCACAGTGAGCAACTGTTTTGGTTCTCGTGTGATTCTCGCGTCGCTGAGAAGCAACAGCCGTGTGGCCGGGTCGGGCCGGGCCGAAGCCCTGATAAGCCCGCGGATCGGATCGGCGCGGATCCCACCCTAATGTCTGGCCGCGCACCTGCGATCCAATGGGATGCCATACGATTCCCATTCCCGGGGTGGGTTTTTGGACGCGTGCCGCGCCTGTGTTTGCCTCTTTTTGTGTGTGAGAACACACTCAGACACAATTTGTTATTGTTGCCTTGTTTGCTCACATTTCAGGCACACAATGCAGGATAAAGTTGATGGGAACAACATTCACATGAAGCTTGGATGAATTTGATTCAGATTTAATTGCAATTAGTTCAAGTTGTTGTACCGAAATGATGGTGTTGGGTTAGGTCTGCCATGTACCATGGATAAGGCGGGGCAATGTGACAACTCTGTGGATTTTTAATGAGGAAATTAGTTCTCAAAGAGAAAACCGATAGAGATCTCTGTGATGTCCAGATTTGAGCTTCCTCAAGTTCCATTTATCATGCTGTTGGTTTAGTTATGTTTTGCCTCCACTTACTTTTAATGGCTGACTCTTTGGTCGGTCGTATTTGGCTGCATAAATTGTAAATACTTTTCCTTTATGTTGTCCATCAATTCGTTGTCCGCAGACCAAAGGGAATTTACTCACAAGGTGGCGCTGTCCGCTGTGGGGAGCACCAATAGCTTATTCACCATGCACGGAGCGACAAGCTCTAGAAAGGGATAGAGATAGAGCTGCACTGTGGTGAAGACATCATCCGTTATCTCTCTCTCCGCCGCGGATTGTGAATTGTTTGCCTCAATTGTTGAGCGTTTATCGATGGCGCTGATCCCGGACTGAATGTGCCTCGTCGTGCCACAAGGGCCTAGGCTTTCGGATCAAATTGCCATCATTTGAGCGGCCACCACCAATGCCAGCGTAGTTTCGCCTGTCGGTCAGGCTGCCATCAACTTGAAGCAGCAAAAAACTAAACAAAACAGAGAAACTAACAAACGATATCAAACATCATCATCATCATCGCCATGGAGGAGGAGTGCAAAAGCCTGGCCTGGGAGCGATAAAAAGATTTTTTGTTTCTTGATTTTGTTGCACCAAAAAAGGCAACGGCAACTCCCATTAAACCTCCCAAAAAGGCAAAAAGGCGCCGTGTTGCTGGCGGATTGTTGTTGTTGTTGTTGTTGTTGTTGTTGCTGTTGCAGATTGCTGGCGCCCACCACGTTGAGGGAGCGGCAGAGCAGCGGCACGCCCCGACCCACGCCCACCAAGCAAACATTTGTGGCACAAACTCTGAGATTTGCTTAGGCCTGGACCAGCACTGCAACCCATTCTCATGCCCATCCTTGGCAAGTGCAACTGCAACAGCGTCAGCATCATTAAAGCAGCTGCATTTAATTTCAATGCCCATTTAGGACGCGGCTCCAAGGGCTCCGCTTTTCCTCTCCCTCTCTCTCTCTCTCTCTCTCTCTGTCAGCGAGCGGCAGCTGGCCCCCAACGATCCACGCATTTCTTACAACATTTTTGCCGCGACTAGTTCCCAGCCAACACGATCGCCCAACCCCACAGTGCCCTCGCCATCGCCATCGCCATCGCCCTCCCCCTGACGCTGCTTCTTCTGCTGCTGTTGTTGTTGCATCAATTAAAGCTGCGCTCGATTTTTCAGATGCGTAGGGCGGACGACAGGTGCAAAGTGCTACAACAGCTCAGCCACAATCCCCTCCCCACTCCCAACTGCCAACTGCCAGTGATTTGAGATTTTTCCATGCGGTTTCTTGGACTAGCAAAATTACAAGTATAAATACCTTCAGAAGGGGGGGCACAGAACAGGCTCCAGTTGTGGCAGGCACCAAGACTGGGGTTAGTGGTGGGACTGGGCCACAGGTGCAACAGTCAGTGGAGTGGCAGCGGCAACAGCTGGGGCAAATCATTTGCAAAGCGCGTTAAGTGCATCACCGGATGGGCGGTGACGAGCTCTTTGCATACAATGATATGGGCAAACCCAATCCATAATGTGATTCAATGGGATGTACATGGATTAGGCGGCACTAGGGGTAGTCATGGCAGTGGGCTACACGAGACACCTTAGCGTGCAGGCAGCCAAAAGACTCAGACTTCAGGTATAGGCAGAGATGACTTATAAAATGTTCCTTCGAATCATTTAAACTCTTCAATTGTTAAACTTTCACTTCGTTAAGGGTTTTCTTTTATTACTTGGGTTCGCAGGTGTTGTATTCTGACTGTACTTCAATTCGCAAGTGTCGAATGAGAGCTACAAAATATTACAAACTATACAAATGAGTGCAAAAAAGTGATGTACATAAATACAAAAAGAGCGAAAAGTGACATGTAAAGATGTCTACAATAAAGATGATAAACATGTACCAATAATATATTATTTAGGTATATAATATATATATAACAAGCCTCAAAAAGAGTGTCTCTCCAAAACGAAAGCCTTAGGCCTATCCAACTTTTGGGCACATATGGCGTAGTCTTATTCTCTACAAATAAACATCGTAGGCTAAGCACGTACTAACTAGCATTCTAATACTTCCTCTCAGGGGTCTCTCGGGCTATGCTTGGCGTAGATTCTGTGCATTCCAGATCTGTTGCTCTGTTGCCTGTAGGCTTTGACGCAGCCTGAAAATGAGACTCACCGCCTGGGCATTCCGTTGGCCAATCGCAAAGTGTTTCACCTGGTCCAGCAGCAGCTGGACGGTGGGCAATTGCAGATACACCAATGGATTGGTACGCTCCAACACAAGGTTTGGCCTTTTGGCCAGGCTCTGTCCGTCTTCTGTCGTTGTGTCGCACTCCTTTCGCTTCCCATTGCCAGCCAAGCATGTGGAGTCTGGAGATTCGACAGGTGAAGTAGTTACAAGTGGAGCTGGGACACTGCTTCTTGGTTTTAGGTCACTGCGTACTCTTATGGTAGGCTTAGCTTGTTCCCTTTCAGGGCTAATGGTGATCTCTTCTATGTTGTGTTTCGGTGTAGCAATGCTCTTATGGTCTGTCTTGGTGGGCTGCTCTGGTGGCAGGTCTGGGCTGACGGTCATCCTGGCGAAGCAGGGTTTCGGCATAGATTGCTTGGGGTTGTCATGGATTATTATGAGGAGCTCCTCTGCTGCCTTGTCAGAGCTGATGGTTATCTTGTCGTTGTTTGGTTGCAGCTGCAGTCGGTTCTTGTTGGTCTTCTCTGCTGCCTTGGCAGTGATCTTCTTGGCATCATTGCTTTTCAGCTGCAATCGGTCCGAGCGCACTCCTGGTAGGGGTTCCTCTGCTGCCTTGCCAGTGGTCATCCCGCTATCATTGCTTTTCAGCTGAAATCGGTCCGTGGGTACTCCTGTGATGGTCTCCTCTGCTGCCTTGCCATCACTGCTTTTCAGCTGAAATCGGTCCTCGCGTACTTCTGACAAAGACTTCTCTAGTGCCTTGCCAATGCTGATCTTGTTCTGTCCCACTCTTTGCTTTAGCTTTGCTTGATAAGTTCGACCCTTTAATTTGCTGGGAAACTGTTTCGTTGCGGTCTGGCTCACTCTTTTCTCAATCGGTTGCTTTATGGCACGCTTCTTCAGGGTTTCCACATCCAGCTTGCCATCAATGTGGTCCTCGTAGTCCTGAAGATTAATGTCGCCCAGCTCGTCATCGTGGATGATCAACGAGCATGGTTTTGACAGGCTAGATTCGCTGGCCAGCAAACTGTCTAGAATCTGGCACGTCTCTCCATCTGCACTTGAATCTGTCTCTGCATCTGTCTCTGCGCTTGCGTCTTTATCCTCATCTTCGTCGCTGCAGAGATCAATGACAAAAGGCGGAGATTGTTTTGCGTCCGTTTCTGCTGCTGATTGCTGGTCCGCCTGCTTCGGTGCTGTCTGCCCATTGAGACGTGCTATCCAGGAACCAACCCACGCCATTACGTTCTCGTATGATGCCGCAGGCAACCTTTTCTTTATATCCTCCTGGCATTTACTTGACAATTGATGTCCATTGGGTCCCTTGACGATTTTGAATTGCGCCACTCGAGAGGAAAACATCTCTTTCCTGGAAACAATGGAATTTACATTTATTTCTTGTAATGCCAGTCGTATGCTACTTACAAAGTGTCTTTGCTCAGCCCGTCAAAACTCTGCATCTTGAGATAACGTCTGCCTGCTGCTTAGAGTCGTAATGAATCTGTGTTCAACCACAGGTAGCACAGGAAACACCCAGGACACACACAAATCCTTTAATTGTTTAAAATGTGAAGCGACGCACTGATTGTTGAAATTCAAATGTCATATGTTTCTGACCCTCGGAAATATACCGATATAAACAACCTCATTTAGAAAATATACTGTATATATACCGCAATCTTAAATCAATTTCCAACATTTTGATCTACTGTTTAATATTACCAGCTGGGTAGAACTCTCAGCTTTAAAAATGTTACTTTACTTGAATCGTCATTCAATTCTCTACAAGATTGGCTAATTTACATGACATATCTTTATTGGATTGACTGTAAAACAAGATTAAAACTAAAAGGGTCAACCCACAAGACCCGTGGAAATATACCGAAATATACCTTCTCATTTGAAAAATATACTGTATCTTAAATCAGTTTCCTCGATTTTGCTATTCTACTTAATATTACTAAATTGCAAAGACTTTTAACACCAAATCAATAATTTTATCAGATTGAAGAATCAATTTGGCTTAGTATAATCACTCTTTTGTATTTATGTGTATAGCATTATGACCTTATATTTTAGTAATTACAACACATTTTCTGCATATTAATAAATTAGTGATTACTGATTAGAAATGCACACTTGTCATATTATAATGGTCGCAGTAGCGCACTTTAAAATCACGCTTTGCAGCACTGTCGCTGAGTAAAGGGGAGCGGTAAATCAAAATACCATTTGAAAAATAAAAACAATACATTTTTCAGTATTTACATCTCTTAAAATGGCTATTATTTATATAAATTGTATAATTATCAGATTTACAAATGGTTTCCCACTGAGCTGCGCTGTTCGCCGCGGTTTATTCGCAAGTTGCCCATGCAGCCTTCAAAGAGAATATCGGCGATGGCTTTTCGAGCCAAGATTCGTTGCGTCGGAGCCATCTCTTCATATTGGACCGCCCACGACTTGGCCAGCACCTCCGAGGCCTCGCTCAAAGCTGGAGGAGCATCTAAACTATTCGATTGTCTGGCCACAGTCAACGTCGCGTTGGTGGAGACGTTCGTGCGATCCGTGTAGTCGGATGTGTCAAGGCCACACGTTTCCGGCTTGACATCCTCTCCTTGAGTGTGCCTGTCGGTATCCATGGGCTCCTCGTCCTGCTCGATGATCTCAACTTTCGGACTCAGCAGAGAGTTCTCCTCTGATGGTGGTGCGCCTGGCTCTGGTAGGTAGCTTGCTAGTGTCTCCTTTGTCGCCCACTCACTCACGGTATCAAGTGGGTCAGATGAGGCCTACAAGGAAGCAAGTAATCACTGGTAAAAGCCATTGCATCCAAAGCATTTCCACACTCACGTCTTTTCCAAACTCAAACATCCTCTTTGGTTTTATGGTTGCCGCTACGCGAACCTTCCTGGATCTGCCCTGTTGGAACGACTCCTGTGTGAGGAGAAATCCCATGTAGTCGTAGAACCAAAGCGTGGGCTTGCATAGGTCCGAGTGGAATCCGAGTTCCTTTTGTTTAAGAATCCGCATCTGCTCCCGCCGGTAGTTCGTGCGAAAGATGTTGATGCGACGCCCAACTTCAGTGCGGGTTGCATTTGGCTGGATCTCCCTTAGTTTCGTCTCCAGCCGCTCGTAGGCTCTGTTTCTCAGCTCCTTGTTTCGGTAGTTCAAGTGGTTGGCATCCCAGAGCTCCGGCATGTCTTGGTAGAGGGCCAAGAACTCGCGCCAAAACTGGCGCTTGCCGGCGCTGAAGCGGTCGGGCAATGATGCTGTCATCTGGTCACAAAACGAAAAAGAGTTAAATGAATTATAAACTCTGGGCAATTGCCTCCTTAAATGTCGATAGAGATATTCGAAATGTGTGCGAGTAGACGCAAAACCAACAGCAATGTCATTATACTCCTTACATGTCACTGACTATGCGAGTTAATTCTGTTTTTGATTATAAATTGTAAAAAAAATACAAAAAAACAAACACGCATCAGCTGTTCGCTGGAGTGTCCACTCTTTTTATGGAAAATCACACCAACACCAACAAGAAATGTGCAGTGCTGGAAAACACCAATCACACAAACACGAAATTCGACTCGATTCTTTTATGCATACCCTGGAACTTAATGCCGTCTGTGTGTTGTTTTGTTGTTGCATTCTCAAATTCCGTTTTAAACAAGACGACGCAAGCAAACACCCTCGATGGACCGACCCTCACTATTCAAGCAGCAATCATGAACTGAATCTCTGATGTAGACGCAAACAGCACCAGTGTGTGTGTGTGTGCCAGTGTTAGATTGAATGATTGATTAGTTTTCTGATGGCTTTGATTGTGTGCATGTATGCGAGGGTTGTTTGCCTGCTATTCACATACATACTACATCCATGTGTATGCAATACATACACAGAGCCAAGTCAATCAATCAACCGACGCGCATTGGGAACAGCCTCAACGGCTGAAAATGCGCAATAATGCAGATAAGGCTGCCTCGAATATAGAATTTCACAATTTTTAAAAATTCTCATTGCTGGCGTTGGGTTCGGAAAGTGCCACTTACCCCCCTGACCAACTCCCTTGCAATTCCACAACTCTGATGCACGTGGATGTCTGTATGTACATGTGTATGTTTGTGTCGCTGAGAGAACTGTGGGCCGGAGAACGCCTGGCCAAATGCCAGTTTGGACCAGACGTCTGGCTAAGGGCAGACATGCGCACATCATTCACACAGACAAATCTCGCAATCAACACGAGTGTTTTGCCATATTTAAGCGCTACTATTACAAGTTGGGGAACCGATCACTAAGAAACTACCTCAATATTGATATGGATTGAATGATTAACATGCCATATGCAAATGCCCACTTTTATTCTAGCGAATTTTTACCTACATACATATGTATGTTTGTATGTATTCTTGACACGCACTCACAGTCGGCGCCCACCATTCTCACACGCACACCAACACCGTACACACTCAGGTGCAATCAAAACAGATGTTTGATTGTGTTGGGTTTGAGAGAGCGCCCGCCCGGCCCGGCTGGGCCATCCATCTATCCATTAGGCAGCGGCAGCGGCAGCGGCCGCTAAGGGCAGACCTGCGCACTGACATATACAGCGTATATATTTAGCCGACTTTTTGTGCTGGCCATGAATAGGTGTGTACACACACACACACCCACAGCTACGTATAGTCTGATTCTATATATATGTACATTAGTAGGTACTTATGTATATTCCATATCGAGATTGCAACAATGACGCAAGGAGGAACGTAATGATGTTTGGTTTAAGTGTATTTGGTTCGAGTACAAACTAGAATATCCCTTATGGCCTAGTGATTGAGTGCATCTTCGAGATGCCTGGCTACGAACTAAGACTTAAGACTGGCTTGCTCTTTGGCTGAAGCATATTTGGGTTCCCCTGAATCTGACTTATCCTACGACGAGGCATCGTCCACCTCCCTCATCACCTCATCGGCACGTGTGATCAGCCCAATCAGACGAATGTTCCCCTTGTGGAGAGCGAATTGCTCCAGCAATTTCAGGTACTTTCGTGCATCGGCACAGCTGATGACGTTCGTCCCGCTGGCGGATTGTTCACCATTGTTGTTGTCGTCGTGGTCCATCGGTTGGCTACGCTTGATGCCTTGGCGTACGGCTGCTGGCGCCATGGTCAATGCTGGCATCGGTGGCAGTGTTGGCATCCCCTCCGCAGCTGTGCTCTGCCTGCGCTGGCGCATCTGCTCGATGTACTCCCTTGCGTTCTCCACATTGGCGGCCAGCACCTCGGCCAGCGACGTGACACTGGAGCGCCCTCCATTCGCATCGTCCTCGAGTTCATCTTCTTCGAGTGGCTCCTCCTTGATGCGCACGACGGGGGCCGCTTCCGCTTCTGGCTCCGGATCAGGCTGCGCCTTGGATGGTGCCATAGCCTCTGCTACCTCTTTATCTGTTTCTGTCTCCTCCTCGGGGTCTTTCGGCTCCGCTTTGATGTCCTTTTCCTGCTTGATCTCGACCATGGGTGCTGGCACCACTGGACCCTTCTCCGGAAGCTGTGGCTGCGACGACGGACGCTTCGTTATGCTCTGGGCCAATGTTGCCAGGGGAATAATTGTCATCGTCATTGGTTGTGCTCCACCGGCGGGTGGCTTTGCGCCTGGTGGCAGAATGGGCGTGGCCAGCAGCACCTTCTGCGATGTGCCAGGCGGTGTGTTGAGTGGAAGTGGCATTGGCAGTCTGACCAACTGTGGCAGTGGATGGGCAGCACGTGCAAGATTCAGTTCGCCCAGCGATGGCTTTACATCCTCCTCCTCCTCCTCCCGCTCACTTATGTCGCCACCATCCACATCGACTTCATCGTCCTCCTCGCCGGCATGACTGCTGAACGAGCAGGGCAGGCTCGCATTCCCATCATCCTGATCGTCCTCCCCTTCGTTCTGCTGGTTGCTGCTGTCATTGGGCTTGCACTCGGACGTCACATCCTTCACAATGTCCTTGATCTGCACCGAGTAACTCTGCGTGTAGCCGATCTTCAGCAGCTTTGTGTCATTGCTTTCGATACCGTAGGTACTACGGAACTTGTCGCACCACTCCTGGTGGGGGAAGAAGTTGGCCAGCCCCATGGAGCTCTTGAACTGCAGCGCCATCTTCTGAATGAGGCCGTCGGAGATGATAAAGTCCTTGTAGTACATCATGCGACGAATCCAGTCGTACACGGCCTTGCCCAGCATCGACACCCGCATCGTCTTCGTCTCCATCGTGCCGGCGTCTTGGGTGCGCCGCGTGCGCTGCTCCCAGGCACTCATGATCTCCTGGCGCTGCTGCACGATGCGCTTGATCTGGTCCGGACTGCAGTTGAACAGCCGGCCCACGTGCTTGTAGACCGAAAGGCGATCGTACTCCCGCAGGGCGGCCACCTTCTCGTTGAGAGCGAGGACATTCTTGCGCTTAATGCGATTGTCAAAGGCCACCTTCTCGGCAGCCGAAAGTGTGGGTGTCGGGGTGAATGACCTCGGCACGATTATCGGCCCTCTGGGCCTCACCACTGCATCCACGTCGATTACCTGTGGACAGCAAATGGCATGCATTGGGTGCCGCAATCATGGCAATGGCTATCTACTCACCTTATCCTTCTTGTCATCTCGTTTTGGGGGCTGTGCATGTTCCTGTGCCTGGCTCCTTTGCTCTCTCTCCCTTCTGCGTTTTTCCCGAATCCTCATTTTGTTGCTGCTTTAGCTGGGGACGACCCGCGCGCCTCTGGCGAATGTCGCAAGACACAATTTACAGTTGTTTTGCTGCGCCCACTCACCCTCTCCGGCTCTCTCACAGACACATCCAAGCGCTATGTATGCGAGTGTGTGTTTGCATGTGTGCGAGCGCTGGATGGTGGCTACGATTATGCGCGTTGACTGCTTGAAAACGTCGCCAGCCGCCACTTTTCTTTCCGATTTAATTCATTTTCCGCCTCGCATTGACTTGCAATTTTCGCCAACCTTTCGCGTGGCCACCAGCCAAGTGCAGTCCGCTGTCGATTATAGTATTCAATGGTTTTCCAACAACGCTCAGCTGCACGCACCTCGCCGCGTTGTGTTGTGTCGTCTAGAACGGTTACTATAAAAATAGCTGCTTTGTGCTGTTGGCCGCGGTGTACGGTGTTCTGTGTTCTGTTCTCCCTCTGGCGAATGCGCAGCGTGGCGGTCGTGAGAGAGTGTGAGAGAGCGCGCGTTCAAACTGCGCCGGCCTGTATTTCGGTGATAAGCGTGCGGGAGTAAAACTAACTGACACAAAGAGTGGAAAAGCGAGAGCATAGAAAGAGCGAAGCAAAGCGAACAAAACAAAAAACAGCTACGCGGAGAGAGGGTTGCAAAAGTGGTCGTGTGTGTGTGTGAGAGAGTGCTTCTGCGCATGCGACAACTTTACTGTTAGCTCTCTGATCGCACGAAATTCGAAAATTTTCATTTTGAACTGCAAACGCCCCGCTTCTGATATATTTTTTTTTTCTCTCTCTTTATATTTACAATCTGTTTTTAAACAATAAGTAAATTGTATAATTAATATTCAATTAACAGAAATAGCAGTTTTCCAATGAGCCCTGCTATTATATATAACATCTTTTTAGTTTGTTAAATTTATCTATCAGGGATATCGAGAATGTTGACATTTTGCTTTAATGTGGTTTTTCCATGTTAATCTGCGGTCGAGATGCAAGCCGAGATACTTCACACAGGTACTTTGTGGAATTGGTGAGCCGTTAAGTGTAACATTTGGGCAGTTACCTGGTCTTAATGAAAACGTTATTTGGACGGATTTCAGGGAGTTTATTCTAATTTTCCATCGAAGGAACCAGTCTTCAATTAGGCTTAGCTCACTCTGCAGGAGTTCAGAAGCTTCATTTATAGATGTGCTTGTGGCTAAAACGGCTGTATCATCAGCATATGTTGCAACAGTGCAGTTGTTTGTAACTGGCATGTCGGCCGTATATAGGGTGTAGAGAATTGGTCCCAATACGCTTCCTTGTGGGACGCCTGAGTTGATGAGAAGTACTGATGAACTATCGGTTTTCTGCTGCACGTAAAAGCATCTTTTAGCCAGATATGATTTGATTAATAAATAGTACGGAGCAGGTAGCCATTTCTTTATCTTGTACAACAAAGAACAAACCTTTGTGCCAGACTCGATCGAACGCTTGTTGAACATCAAGAAATGCAGCAGTGCAGTATTTTTTGTTTTCAAATGCCGAAACTATATCATTAATAACCCTGTGACATTGCTCAGGGGTCCCATGACCCCTCCTGAATCCGAATTGGTATTCAGGAATGATGGAAAGTTCGTCTAAAATTGGTAACATTCTCTTCAATAGTATTTTTTCAAACACTTTCGAGAAAATTGTCAACAGACTAATGGGACTAAATGGGTATGATGTCAATTCCGTTTATATTTTGTTTGGTTTTAGGATCATAACGATCTCTGCACATTTCCATTGACTTGGAAAGTGGTCTAGTCTGAGAATCGCGTTATATATAAGAGTGAGAAACCGAATGCATTTTGGTGGTAAACTTTTTAGGGTGGATACCGTCTATTTTATCAGGGCCTGGTGCTTTTTTATTGTTCAAGCATTTGATTTCTGTCACAACTTCTTCATATTTAATGCTTTTAATAGGCAAGCTCATTTGGCAGGGTGACTCAAGGAATTTTTCTACTTCAGTCTCTGTTGTATAATTATTTATATCGTTTGGCTGAAACACAGAGTGCAGATGTTGTGCAAATGCTTCCGCTTGTTCATTATTAGACCTACACCAAGTTTCGTTGTTTTTGCGAATATTTATGTTTCTTTTAGCTGGTTTCTTTAGGTATTTAGTCGCCCTCCATAGGTTGTATTCATTGTTGCTTGAATTAGGGTCTAAGTTTCTCAGATACGCAGCTAGAGATTCATTGCGTAAGTTCGACAGCAGTTGTCTAAGCTCAGATGCAGCCTTGTTGTATAATCTTTTGTCAGCAGGGTAGTGAGTTTCTTGCCAGCGTTTTCGCAGATTCCTTTTATTTTGTATTTTTTGTCGAAGATCGGTTGAAAGGTTCAATTGGTTTGGTTGTTGATGATTAAGAGCATGATNGAAACCGAATGCATTTTGGTGGTAAACTTTTTAGGGTGATACCGTCTATTTTATCAGGGCCTGGTGCTTTTTTATTGTTCAAGCATTTGATTTCTGTCACAACTTCTTCATATTTAATGCTTTTAATAGGCAAGCTCATTTGGCAGGGTGACTCAAGGAATTTTTCTACTTCAGTCTCTGTTGTATAATTATTTATATCGTTTGGCTGAAACACAGAGTGCAGATGTTGTGCAAATGCTTCCGCTTGTTCATTATTAGACCTACACCAAGTTTCGTTGTTTTTGCGAATATTTATGTTTCTTTTAGCTGGTTTCTTTAGGTATTTAGTCGCCCTCCATAGGTTGTATTCATTGTTGCTTGAATTAGGGTCTAAGTTTCTCAGATACGCAGCTAGAGATTCATTGCGTAAGTTCGACAGCAGTTGTCTAAGCTCAGATGCAGCCTTGTTGTATAATCTTTTGTCAGCAGGGTAGTGAGTTTCTTGCCAGCGTTTTCGCAGATTCCTTTTATTTTGTATTTTTTGTCGAAGATCGGTTGAAAGGTTCATTTGGAATTGGTTTGGTTGTTGATGATTAAGAGCATGATTCGTGTTTCTGTAGCTCGCTTATAGCTTATGAATTGTATTTGTGAAAAGCTCCACAGCATAGTCTATCTCCTCTCCTGTTTTTAACGGAATGTCCAGGCTTATAGCTGAATCTAAATGGCTTTTAAATGGCTAAATGCGTTAATGTCTGTAGAGGCTGTTATTACTTTATAGGGCTTTTCCAACATATGGGCTATTGTGCTGTAAGTTGCTATTATTGGAGAATGATCTGAGCTAAGGTCAAAGCTCTCCATTACTCGCATGTGTGATTGTGGGATTCCAGAGAATACTATGAAATCAATCAAATCTGGAATTTTTCGACTATCAGTTGGCCAGTATGTGGGCACACCAGTTGACAAAGTCGTTATGTGTTACGAACCTGTTTTGGTGTTGGGGCAGTCATCCCAGGGCTGAGTTCTTCCCAGGCCCCCAGGTCGCACAACAAACCAACTGTTCGGACATCTCGAACAAATATCAAAAACAAACGATAATTCAAAACATGCATCGGACTTTACTCTACATCTAACGGACAAACATCTCTCCAACACAGACGTGGACAAGTCTGAGGTGCCGATGGTCTAGCTCCTACGTACTCTACCTGAGATGCGACTCAGAATACCTCAGATCTCCTTCCCAAGTGTGGCGGACTTTCTCCATCTCGCCGTTGTGGTCCCCTTTCCCCCCCCATACTAATGTGTGATCGTGAAGTAAAATTTGCAATATTATAAATTTGGTTTTTGAATTGTGTATGAATTGATTTTTAGGGATATGATTACAGAGCACCGCGCAGGCGGATAAGGGCTGAGAAGTTGAATTTAATTACCCACCCTTATTAGTGTTTTTTTATTATTTATATTTATTATTTTATTTATATTTATGTTTATGATGTAAAATGTAGGCGTAGATTAATTATATTAATTGTCGGTGGCGCTGTGGCGGGTCGCGCCCGATCAGGGGTGTGACGAGGATTCCGCGGGCCGGGGAATCGTAATTTTGGCCCATCTACGGGAAGCCAGCCGATACAATTTACGCCCTATGGGTTTTAAAAATATTGAATCTGGGATTCATTTTCCCTTTGGACTGGACTCACTTTTATTTCGATTCGGGTAAAAGGGTCCTCTACGTTGGCCGGTCTGTTTTTTTTTTTCCTTAACGGTCACACACACAAAACGCCCTAACACTGCCGACGTTTATTTTCCCACTGCCGGCATGTTCAGCGTAGCTACTCTACGCAGTCCCCCATGCTGCAGTTGATCTCATCTCTTCTACTGCCCTTGAACCAAATTCAAGGGCATCGCATGGCATTCTTGAGGGTGTGGGTGAGCTGGCTCGTGGATCCCGCAATATTCCCCTCTCTTACATTCTCCCGCTCTCTCACCGGCACCGTTGATCGCCTTGCCCCTTCGCCTATCGACCTATCAACCTCCAAAAAAATACTACCAAATCTAGTATTTTGCATATCGCTCTCCTTCGAATGCAACATATGTTATTGTTTCGTATGCATTTGTATAACTCCGATCCCTTCGGGTTAGTTAATCTGGTGGATCCCCACCATGGATGTTTGGCATTGAAGTCGCCTCCCACGATAAACTTTGTTCCCAGTCCTTGGAAAAAGTTTTTGAAATCGTCAAGAAAATAACACTTAGAACCACCCTCTATTTAGCGACAATAACTATGTAGACGCACGTATGTAAAATAGACTTAACACCGTCGAACGTATCGCAAAAGGGATCATGACAGCATGATTTGAAATTTAAGGCCCTGCTTGACAAGAATTGCAGCACCTCCATGAGCTCTATCTGATGGATGGTCAGCTCTTACTGTGTTACTGTGTCGTATCCAGTAACTTTAAAAAAAGATTTGCTAGTGAAGTGTGTTTCTGGAAATAAGCATGACGTCAATGGCATTCGTTTTTAAAAATAAAGCTATTTCATTTACATGGTTGGAAAGCCCATTGGCATTCCATATTCCTAAGTTTAGATTTATTTGCATAGCTTATTTACAAGTAACATTATCATGTTAGGTAAATTATTGGTAAGTTGAGATTGTTTTTCTAGAAGCTGTTCTATTCTTTCTAGAGACTTGTTCGAGTTACTATTTCCTGCAGCATCTTGAGCGTATGATTGGTAATCTTTGGGTTGTTGGGTCGAATTATTAGACGGAGCAAATGATTGATATGTACCATGGTCATTTTTATTTTTGTCATCTTTGGTGTTTCTCTGGTGGTTGCGTCCGCTTACTATTTTTTTTTTTTGATATAAAATCCTGATAGACTTTACACCCTTTGTAACTAGCAGCATGATCTTCGTTGCAGTTGGCACATTTTGCTGGTTGCTCTTTATCTTTTGGGCAAACGTTGCTGGGATGGTTAAGAGAGCATTTCACACATCTGTGAGTTTTGGCACAATGTGACTTTGTGTGTCCAAATTCCTGGCAACGATATATCACTGACTTCAGATAAGAATATAGGTGGCGGCTTGGCAGATTCAGTTAAGCTATCTTCAGTTATCATGTCCAGTGCTTCGTTTTCATCTTCATTTCCGTTATTTGGAGGGCATATTGATTGGAGCTGGTTCTGGTTCTGGGTGCTAAGTCCAGAGCGATTTTTTTCTTTAGTAGAATAGGAGAGACTTGGTTTTGTCTCTTGACTGCCTTTGACTTCAATTTTACTCTCTGCCAGTTCCAAACCGTTGTGTCGTCTTCGTCGTCGTTCATGATAACAACAACACTTTTTTTTTTTTTTTTTAGATTTTAAGTTACCGCTCTACCCTTGGGTAGGCGGGAATTATTTGGCCACCCGCCTTTACAAGGGGGAAATCGCCACGTCGAAATATGTAACTTGTTACAGTTTTGCTCCAATACTTACCTGGCGTAGAGGTTATGTTCCCCACGTGCTTGCAGTGTGCCCAGACACTTTATCTTTATTTTTACAACAACACTTTGTTATTGCTTATCAGTAACCACTATTTTGTTTGCTTTTGTTTTGTGAATCGAATAGTACTTTTGCTTTATATTTACGAACTGAAAGTTTTTGCCAAGGCAACTTCGGCTCAAAAATGTACTTTTATTTCCGAAATTTTATTTTCACTTTCTCTCCTAGATGTTGCTCCTACGAGCTACGAGCAGCTCCGTTCGATTGCTTCTGATATAATCGTTATTTTTTATTTTGACAGGCGCTTAACCAAAGTTGGTGAATTTGCGCAGAATGTAAGACATGGTGGCTGGATTATCGGCGGGCACCATGTGTCCGGCACGGTTCACCCAGAACATGCTGAAATTGCCAGCCGTCTTCTCATAGCCCTCGAGCACACGGTCCACCGTGATGCCAACACGGGGAGCAGCCAGATAGGCCGCCTTGTCCGTCCACTCCATGCCGGCAATCCAATTGACAGCGCCTGGTGTGGCACAGATCAGGTCCAGGCCGCCGGAGAACACACCCACCCGGACGGTAGTGTTGCTCAGCAGTTCACCCACTGAAAGCACGAGGACGCCACTGTAGCAAAGGTGATCAAGGTACAGGAGGGACTCTCCACTTACCAATGTGCACGGCGGGCTTCATGAAATCACCCATTAAGGAGGAGAAGGTTGCGCTGCTCTGTGCGCCCCACTTGACGCCTGTGGTGATGTTGAGGGCCTCGGTGACAGGTCCACGCATCAGCTCCTCCAGCAGCTTTTCCCGATCCTCATCAATGTCAAAGTGCACCAAAGTGCGGTACATGATCTCTGGCAAAAGAACTGATTGAAAAAACGCTTTCCTTCAGCAGGTCTCATGTCCTCCTACCCTCTTGACTCATTCCCAGGGACCGCAACACGTACTTGTCGCCCAGGGTGGGTGTCTCCACATTGTAGAAGTCAACGCCCTTCGACTCACGCAACACCACCGACTGCGTGGAGCTCCACTGAAGTGTGGCCAGTGTCCACATCTCACGGTCCACACATCGCTTGGTCGCTGCGGCCGACGACTCGATCTTGTCGTGGCCATCCTGATCAACGATGCCCAGCTGCAGGAGGAACGGCGCCCAGGAGAGCACCGAATCGATGGGCGATGTCCACGGATCACCCAAGCCAACAGACACCAAGTTGCTGTTGATCTCCCCGCGCTGTATGGCATAGTACAGCTCCAGGGCGAACTCTGGAGCCATTTTGCCGCCGTAACTCTCGCAGAAGATGTGCAGCGGCACGGCCTTAAACTCTGGATGATTGTCATAGAAGCCCTTCATCAGCTCCACCAGATCCAAGGCGATCTGCTTGTTCGTCGTCGTATAATACGAAGAGTTGTCCACGTAGCTGAAGCCAGTGCCCACGGGATTGTCGATGAACATGACATTCATGTCCTTGGCCCAGTTCCACTCACGGTAGCTGCCATCCAGCTTGAGTGGTCCGAGTTCCTCGAAGTTGCCGTAGCCCGTGGACGAGGCGCCCGGTCCACCTTGCAGCCAAATGGCCAATGGACGCTCCGTGTAGCTGGTCACATTGGCCGTGGTGTAGTAGAGCCAATAGAACATGTGGGCGCCTGTGCGCACATCCATGAAGCCCCAATCCTGTTCGCCCGGTCCATATCCTTGGCGTGCTGTGAAGGAAGGAAGGAAAGGGGTTCGTTTGGCTACTTCAACAGATAGGTTACTGATTTCGCTGGAACACTTGACTCTAATCTGGACACTTGAAACGTTTCATGCCCCAATTAAGGCAACTCAAGCAGCGCCACTCGTTGCTGGCCGATAAAGCGCCTTAGATTATTCTTCATATAAGGCAAGCCAAGCCAATCACTCCCGTTGATTTTCGAACCGAACACACCTAATGATCGGCATACAAAGTGTTTGCTGGCCAGAAGCCAATCCAATCGACTCACCATTGACAGAGCCACAGCTGAGCAGCGACAGACAAAGCGACACAGCGGCAATGATAAGACCAGGAGCCATTGTGCACTAGTTTCGAGTTTCTAGTTTTCTTTGTAGCTCGAAATTTGAAGACCCAACCGAACGCTTGGCAGTTCGACAACTGTCTGATCGCTGGCCAGGCCAAGACCAATGAAAGTTGGCCCGCAGACGACGGCACACAAAGATATCTTGCGAGTTTGTAATCTACGAGTGGAACACTATTTATGACCCTTGGAAGTGATGGCAGTGACGCGGCTTATTGGTAATTATCTGCCTGACATTTGTCAATTTTTGGGCCAAATCTTCAGCACTCAACATGGGCAAATCCTTTAAGCTTGCATCACCATTATCTGGACAGCACCCACATTGGGTTTTTCCTCTGCTTTATTTCACTTTATTTACGATGTGTCTCTCCCCTAGCCGAAGCTCGTGAACTCGCGCAGGACATGGCTCATGGCGGCGGGATTATCAGCGGGTGCCATGTGACCCGAACGATTGATCCAGAACATGGTAAAGTTGCCGCCAGTCTTCTGGTAACCCTCCAGTATGCGATCCACGGTGATGGCAGTGCGTGGAGCAGCCAGATACTCGCTTCTGCGGCTCCAGTCCAGCTTGGCTATCCAGTTGACGGTGCCGGGAGTGGCGCAGATTAGATCTAGACCACCCGAAAAGACGCCCACTTTGAGCGGAGTCTTCTCCAGTAGCTCATTGACTGTGGAAGGGGACAAAGATTACTCTGGCTATCAGGCAGGGGTCTTGGTTCCCTTACCAATATGTATCACTGGCTTCATGAAGTCCGTGCGGTGTATGTCAAAGGTGCTGCTGCTCTGCGAGCCCCACTTGACGTTGGAGGGTATGCCCAGGGTTTCGGCTACAGGTCCGCGCATCAGTTCCTCCAGCAGCTGGTCGCGATCTTCGTCAATGTCAAACTTTACCATGGTGCGATACTGGCGCTCTGCCAGCAGGGAAATAATCTTAAATCACGAATTTAGCTGCACTTTCGTGTGGCACTCACCTTCGGGGGACATGGCCAACTGTCGCTGGAATCGATCGCCGAGTGTCTGCTTCAGCACATTGTAAAAGTCAACGCCCTTTGAGGCCTTCATCACCTCCCACTGGGTGTTGCCCCACTGAGCTGTGGCCTGAATCCAGCGCTCCTCCGCCACCAGTTCGGCAGTAAAGTTTGCAGCTGCCGCAATTGCCGCGTAGCCGTCGTGATCCACGATTCCCAGCTCCCTGAGCAGCGGTCCCCAAGCGAGAACCGAATCAATGGGAGATGTCCACGGATCACCTAAGGCAACGGACGTCAAATTACTCTTCAGCTCGCCACGCTCCTTGGCATAGTAGAGCTCCAGGGCGAATTCGGGTGCCATCTTCCCCCCATAGCTCTCGCAGAAGATGTGCAGCGGCACAGCCTCGAATTCCGGATGCAGCTTATAGAATTCCTTCATCAGCTCCACCAGATCCAGGGCGATCTCCTTGTTGGTGGCCGTGTGATAGGCCGTGCCATCCACATAGCTGTAGCCACTGCCCACGGGATTGTCGATGAACATGACATTCATGTCCTTGACCCACGTCCAGTTGCGGTAGTCGCCATACAAATCGACGGGTCCCAGCTCCTCGAAGTTGCCGTAGCCCGTGGACGAGGCGCCCGGTCCACCTTGCAGCCAAATGGCCAACGGACGCTCCGTGTAGCTGGTCACATTGGCCGTGGTGTAGTAGAGCCAATAGAACATGTGGGCGCCTGGACGTACATCAACGAAGCCCCAATCCTGCTCCCCCGGTCCATATCCGGCCTTGCCTACGGGTTTGCCAATGCGCGTGTAAGAAGATAGTCAGTAAATGATTTATGGACGCAGCTTACCATGTGCCAAGGCCGCGAAGCACGCAAGTAATATCACCACCAGACCAGTCATCATTTCCACGAGCTGCATTAAACACTTTGGCCATGGTTGCGCCGTGTGGCTACATTTAAAGGGAAAATCTTATCTGCCGAGCGCGCGCACAAACAGTTATCGAAAGCAACGCTGTGGCCAGCGCACGCACCCCTGTGGCCGACCCCTGGAACAGCTGTTTGGACATCGTTGTTTTCCTCTTTTGTGTCTGGAGTTGCGAAAAAATTTTAATTAACGCATTTTCAGAGCAACAATAATGGCAACTGTGCGCATACCCAAGCAAAAGGTGATCCTCTGCGGTGACTATGGCGTTGGCAAGAGTTCGCTGTTTCGTCGCTTCACCAACAACACATTCGTGACGGAGACGGACCGAAAATCCACACTGGGACTGGATCACATTGATCGGGAGTACGATGTGGGCGACAAACAGATTAAGGTGTGTAGTGTACATGCCTGCAGCTTGTCTCTGCTAATTCTTTGATTGTTGGCACAGCTGCAACTGTGGGACACTGGCGGCATGGAGCGTGTGGCCTCTGTGACATCTTCCTACTACAAATTTGCAGAGGGTGCCATCCTGGTGTTCGCCCTGGACAACGCAGCCTCCTTTCACTCGCTCTCGCAACACTTGCTGGACATTGTGACATATGCGGAGAATGCAAAGATCTTCATTTGCGGCAACAAGAGCGACCTGGAGGGCCGCGAGCCAGAGGTCAGTGACGAGGAGGTGGAAGCCTTTTGCGAGCAGTGCCACTCGCTGATCAGTGCCACCTACAAGACATCCTGCCGCTCTGGTGCGGGTGTGGAGGAAATGTTTCGCGACATTTCGCGTCAGCTGGTGCACGCCAATCGCTCCAAAATGGAGCTCCAGGCGCTCGAGCAGAAGAGCTTCAAAATTGACACCGCCTGCGATCCGACCATCAACGAGGAGGCCTCCTCCTGCAGCTGCTAGCAGTTGGGGAACATTGAGTTTGGTTAAAGCAAAAAGCTAAACCCGAACTCAATGCCAAGCAGAAATGCATTTTATTATTTAATTTTTATTTATTAATGATGCGAAGGTTGGTTTATGTTTTTTAATGCAAAGATACGTCCCCGAAAACACCAAACGAGTCATAGGTATAGGAGTTAGTTATATGTTATATATATCTCTATGCCAAATATAAACTTTGAATGTTTATATTATAATGTAGTTTAGTGCGTAGGTCTGTGCAGCTTTCTTCCACTAGAATTAGCCAACGTTAGAATCGTTTTCCTTTACACACAACACACACTGAATACTCATAGACGTAAGATTTGCTAAACAAATAATAATAAATAAATAATCAATTCACAAATAAAGGAATGTCTCTAGTGTTGGGTTACCCCTTTAGGTTTACTACGAACTGGCAGCAGCCGAAGTGGAACTCGGCGCAAAGGTCAGGTATAAGCTGACACCCACAGCCACCACAAAGCACACTCCCACGCCATATAGAACGACCTTTTCCCTGAGTGCTCGCAAAACCATGGTGTTCAGGGTGCGCGAGGCACGGCCGATATCTGCGTTGGTTTCCCTCAGGCGTGCCCGCGCGCCTTGCAGTGTTTCGCGCTGATGGTGCAGATCGTTGAGTACTTGTGCGCCCAGCGCCTCGGTCTCCAGGGCCACTCGATAGCCCTCGGTCAGCCGATTGCCAGTGCGCTCAATCCTCTCCGAATTGTCTAGCAGGCGCTGTCGCTGGTCATTGTTGATGGACACATCCTCGTAATAGTCACTGGTCCCACCCAAGTCCAGTGTTGTGAAGGCGTTTGGTTGCTTATCCTTGGTTTGCTTGTACTCCGCCTGCAGGCGTCGCAGTTCGGCTTGGGCCACCTGCAGCTTGCTGTTGAAGTTGCTGCGCTGTGCAGGATTAAGCTCTCTTACCTCCAGACCCATCTGCTCCAGCAGCTCCTGTGCCTCGGGCATGCTGCCATCGATTTTGCTGCACAATTCATGACGGTCACCTGCAAGGATTAGCGATAAATTGATTATCACCCCTGTGTGTTTGTGTGTGTGCCGAATCTTCTTCACTCACTGCTGCTGCTCTGCTGCTGTAATCTTCCTATATGCGCTGTTATCTCTGCAATTAGAGCCGCGTATTGCTGCTCGTACTGTTCCAGCAGCGACATTTGTTGTTATTTTTCAAGTTTTCGCAACAATATGGGTGGACTATTTTTTTCAATGCAGAAAAAACGTAAACATTGGCGTAGTGTGACCGCGTCGGAGGCAGCTGATAATCGCAACCAGTGCAGCGCTGCCAGATGTAATTATCGATGTTGATGTGAAATTGTAATTATCGATATCGATGCAAAAGTGCAATCATCAATGAAATATCATTTTAAGCCGGCTGGCAACTCCTTTGCGGCAGTTTAGTTTAAATTAATGATTTTATTTCACTTAAATAATACTACATATTTTAGTAATCTATTCGATACACTTGTATGTACGCTGTTCATCACATTTGTGTTTTGTGTTTGTCATTTTAAGGAGCAACGCCTCTAGTCTAGCCCTCAACGAGCGTGCCCTTCTCGCCCTTCCGCAGCACCAATTCCAACTGTGAGAGCAGCCCAATGGCTCGAAAGTTCTCTTTGAACAGCACAAAATCCTCCAGTGGCTTTAGATATTCGAGCGCATCCGTGTAGCTATCGAGTTCCTTCAGCACTTTCATTATGCCCGCGGAGCCCTTCGTCTCGAGTTCGGGTGATGTTCGGCCATTTGTCTGGCTGCCAGATCTGCTTCTGCTGCTGCCTCTGCTATTGGAGCTCCTCTTGGGCGAAGCTGGCGTGGAAGTGGATGGCTGCGCTGGCGAACTGTTGCTCTTGATGGAGTGGGCTGGCGTGGATTTTCCGCTGCTGCCGCCGCCGTTTGTCTTGGGCGCATTCTCCTTGCTGCTGGCACTGTCGCGCCCGCCGCTGCTGTTGTTGTTGTTGTTCTGCTCCTTGGGACTGGGCAGCCGCAGATTGGCCGTCTGTTCGTTGAGATCCTGCGTGGCTTGTGTGGACTCGGCCAGGGGCAATGGCGAGCCTCGTGAGATTGTCGAGCAATTGATTTCCTGCACCTCCATGTCATTCGCTGACTCCAGCTTTGGGTGCAGCTTCGGCAGCTGCACTGGCTGGAAGGGACTCACACGCTGTGGCACAACATTCGGTGGCAATTGTGGTTGGAATGGCTCCCGCGGCGGATGTGGAGCGGGAACAGTCATAGGTGGGAATTGCATTTGTTGCTGTTGCTGCTGCTGAAGCTGTTGGTGCATTTGTTGCTGGTGGCGCTCGAAGTAATAATCATTGAAGGTAGTGAAGCCCGGATGGGTTGGGGGATGCGGCGGCGCTCCTGGGAACGGCGGCCATGGATGATTCATTGGATGCTGCAGGTGCTGCTGCTGATGCTGTTGTTGCTGCTGCTGGAGTGCAAAGTGCTGTTGCTGCTGCTGCTCCTGATAGCTCTGCTCCTTGATGTCCATGCTGTCGTCATCCTCCTCGTACTCGCCATACTGCTGCATGTAGTTCATGTAGTGCTCCGGCATCTCCTCCAGCTTGGCCACCCGTTCCGCGCTGGCCGGCGGGAACAGGTGCTGCAGATCGTGGACAATGTCGGGTATCCAGAGGGAAGTGCCCATGGGCTTCAGCTGATTGGTGGCCAGTTTCTGGGCAAAGCCCTGCAGATGAGTCTCCCGGAACCGGTTCAGCCAGCGATTGTCGGCAATAAACGAGGTGCTGCCGATCACCTGACGCGCCGTCTCTGCCTTGTCCTTGATCATGCCATGTGTGATGCTGCCACGCAGCTGTGGATTAATGTTGGCCCGCACGAGCCACTCGTAGACGACGGCATTGATGTAGGCGCACTTGCGACTCCGCTCAATCTCCTCCACCATCGCCTGCTGCTCCACAGCGACCATGTTCGATGGCACCTCCAGCCGCAGCGTGGGCAGCGCATTCGATTGCAGCCTCCGCCCACCCAGGACACTCGGATCAAAGTGCAGCGCGCACACCACGGGCTTCTTGAAGGGCACAATCCGACGCAGTGAGGCGTGGCACGCCTCCTTCCAGAGCTTGTGGAATGGGCTCTCCGGCCGTGGAAAGGCGAAGAACTGCATGCTCGGATGCTGTCGCGAATTGGACATGCAGCCGATGATGCAGCAACGCCGAATGGTCGGCATTCCGGAAACGTTGTTCTGTATGCCCCGAATGTTTAATGAATTTTGTCTTGGCGTTGCGTTATTGCGCCGCCAAGCCACCGAAGAAAAAGAAAAAAAAAAGAAACCTCAATGTCCACCGAAAAGCTGCAAAGAGAGATAAGAAAATTCGCTGTTAGTTTGCTGTTTTTCGTTGTAAATTAGTTATATACACACACAAAACAAACAATAATGGCCGTCTTTTTGCATTCTGTTTTGTTTTCGCTGGGTCCCGTTAGAATTCATACTACTGCGGTGTTGCAAAATGTGACTGGCTGGCGCAGTGTTGCTAAACGACATGGTGGGCGCCAAGGCACAACAAGTGTTCCCTTTTTGAATTTTGTACTGCATTTGAGTCATATTTACCCAGAATAACAGACGTAATTATAGATTTATAGTAAATTCTATGAGCAAGCAAGCATCACGAGCAAGCTACACGAGTTTTAAGATGGATATACACACAAAAGACGCCCACGAGGGCCTTTTGCAGCATATCATTCCTAACATCATCACTTGAGGCACCACTTGAGATATAATGGAATACATATAAGACGTAGCACGCACCATTACCCTAAGAGTCACAGATATAGAAATGCCTACAGAAATCGATACACTTACAGTCGCAGCGCCAAAAACCAGAACCCATAGATGCCTCGTACGACGAACGAATTATTCACTATTATATCGGGCAGTATATCCACACCCACACATACACCTACAGCCTACCGACTGATACATACAGATGCGAGCTAGAAGTGACAGAGACGCCTGACTAAAGTGAACCACTTGGCCGCGCCCCCAGGGGCTTAAGAGAGGGCGAAACAGATACAGATACGACATCTCTGCTGAGTCACGACTACGGTTAGTCGGGGCCTCTGACTCAGGGGCCGGTCTGTGGATTAGCAAAGCAAAAGCAACGACACTGAGAGATGACTTAATGCGAACAGCATGTCCGTTTCTCTCGGATAAATTGAGATTGCCATTGATTAGGTTGAAACTTTAAAGTGAATTTCAATTTCCCCTCTCTTCACACAGCTGTCAGGCACTTCCTTTCATGTTTTGGGGTGAACCTACGGAATTGGGTTTTATCTTTCAGTTATGTTTAAGGGTTGTTCACTGTCTGTCTGCCTCTATCGCTCTGTTCGCTCTCACGCACAAGCTTCCTTCCTCAGGCAGCTGTTCTGCTTAACTTTGGGCAAAAGTTTTTGCTCCGGAAACTTCTTGGCATGGCAGGCAGAAACCCAAACCCAAACCCAATAGCAAGACACAAAACGAACCCTTTCCGCACTCAAGCATCTTGAAGATACACCTCGCACCTTGACACACAACGCGACTGCGCTTCGTCTATGGCTCTTCGTGCGGCAATAAACGCACACCAGCACAGACATGACACACACATACTCAACACACTCAAAAGACATTGTCGAGTGTGGCAGCACTACACCATCAATTCCAATTCAAATCTCCCCTGACTGACTTGCTTTATAAATGGTTTTATATTTCCTTTTATGTCGCCCTGGCTATGCTCCGACTATGGCTCTTTGGCTCTTACTATGGCTATATACTCGGTCTTGGCTCGGATGTGGATGTGTCTGAGGCCGACTGTAGCTGTAGCTACAAGTACATCTCTCTCTCTCTCTCTCTCTCTCTCTCTCTCTTGCTTTCTTTCCCTTATATCGATTGGCACTTTATCTTAATCGCCTCGAGAGTTGTCCCTCCTCGTCTTTCCTGCCCCACCGCCTGCCCTTGGGAGCGAGCGAACTTCCCTCCATCCATCCATCCATCCATCCATCCATCCACCTAATGGTTGCCTGGCATCGCTGCCTTCTGGAAATTTCCTGCAGCATCATTATCATCAGTCGTAATCACGATGTGATGGCCCCGGACTTACACAGTCAGGGCCTTCGTTTTGGGTTCTTTTATGTTGGGCCATACATATCTTTTGTATCGCTGTATCTCCCAGGCAATGGCATTGTGTTTGCCTAGGAAGTTTCTACGTTCTAGGTTCTACATTCTACCCACCACACCACCAATCCTCTGTCTGTCTGTCTGTCTGTCTCTTTTGTCTGCTATTCTGTTATGTTCTGTACGATGTTCGGGTGGAAGGAAGTATTCCGATTCCCAGCTCGCTTGCTTCCCCCCTCCTGCCGCCCGTCCCTTCTGCTAAAGATTTAGTTTCTGTAGTTTTGGGTTTCGTTCGTTTCACGATGTCTCTCAGGTAATCTCTTGCGATTGGTTTTCCCTCATAGGCTAATGGTTTGTGCTTGGGTTTGGACATGGGTTTGGGCATTTACTTATTTATCTTATATCTGAAGCAGTTGGGTTCGGGTTCGGTTAAAGTTGGCCTTGGATGGACCATTTTGGGTTGCTTTTTGGTAGCATAAGTGGCAGGGTATAAGCTGAAGTGTGGGAACATAAAGTCAAGGGAATAGAGAAATACAATATACCCGAGAGAGAGACATGACCTGAACTTTGATTACCTTAGATTTTGGCATTTTTGAGTTGAATTAATCAGGCATATAGAAAATATTTGGTACTAAAAACGTTGTAAGTCCCTTGGCAACAAGATAATCCACTGTTTCCATGCATTAAAGCGGCTTGACAGGAACCAGGAACCACTTGGGGGCTGAGTTTTTGGCCTTGAAAGTTGCGTGAATGCGAAATTTCAAGGACAGACTTCCTTCCGCAGCAGCACGTTTATTCAATTGGCGCCAAAGTTGCTGTCCCGTTATCACACAAACACACAAAGAGAGCGCCAGAGAGTGGGCAGAAGAGAGAGAATAAACAAGCACAAAAAAAAGTGAAACGAAAACGCAAACAAACGGCTGCCGGCAAGCAGCTTAGACGTAAACAAAAACAAAGCAAGGCAGTGCCAGAGGCAGATCCTCACTGGACACACACAAACACACCCTACCACTCACACACAGGCACACAGATGATCCCTCAGTATGCAAATGCTGCTTTTTTAATTGCCAGCAACAACAGCCACACAGTAGCAGCAGCAGCAGCGGCAGCGGCAGCGTCACAACAGAAGCTCAACACCCCCGTTTGTTTACCGTTACAGCAAACGCCGCAAGGGTACACTTACACTTCCAAAACAGAGAGCAATCGGAATTGCTGGGCTCCGATCCGTTTGGATATATCCAACACAAATTGACGCACGTACTCCTTGGCTATATACTGCTGCCGGTATTACTTCACCGAAGCAGCCGAATACCCCGGGCAAGCACAGAGGCACTCGAATCGAACACGTTTACGGTAAACGCGCTGCGAGAACACAACGAAGCAGCGAACCAACCGCTTCGGACGAACGTTCGGAGTGAAGTGTACGAAAAATACGGCAACCAAACTCACAAGCAACTACCCAACCAACTCGACGAACGACCCCGACCGACTCGTTTTTCCCATCTATAGGAAATACTTAATCCCAAACAGAAAGCAGCCAACAGAAGCAAACGCCATCGCCATCGCCAGCCAGCAACAGACATCGCCATCGCATAGCATCGCATCGCAAGGACGGGCGCAAGAGCGCACCTCTTGAACCGCGCTGCGACGTCGACGTTGACGGCAGCGTCAGCGTAAGACGTGCCCAAAGCCAACACAAATACGCAGCGACAGCGACGCTGACTGCAGCAGAGCAACATATCGTCGGATTGTTGGGTGGTGGTGGTGCTGGTGGGTGGGTTGGTTGGTTGTTCGGTGTCTCCTCTTCTGGCTGTCAGCCCGCGGCGTTGCACGAACTACCCGATCCGATCCGAATCTGAACCCGAAGCTCTCGTCCTACGTTTGTTGTTGGGCTTCAGGGGCTGGCGCTGGGACTGTGACTGGGGGAGGGGGACTTTGTGTATATAGAGAACTCTCCGATGGGTTTTTCAGGCATACGTAGTGCCCGTTATGGGGTCCAGCACACTCTGCCCTGCTCGCTCGTCTGTATATATCGAACGCTTAAGGTGGATGAGTGCTTTCGGGTTTGGTTCTCTGACGATATGAGCTTGGAATTTCGGTATCTGCTGTTGCTTGAGCTAGATATATGCGCTATATACGCTCGATGCCTGACTAAACACACACACAGGCACACGCACAACACATACGAGTGCAATGTTACCTATTTTTGGGTATTACTATTGACTTTGTTTTCGATTGCCATAATCATTATTAGAGTGGACCCTGTTAGTCTGATCTCTAGAGGTGACAAAAGGGTTTAGCTTTTTGCTAATTGCTGGGAGTTGTCATACGAGCATTATAATATGTTCTTTTGTGTTAAACATTTTTGGTAAAATAAACTAGAAAGTGTGGTTTTGGTCCAGCCTATCTGCATGGCTTGTAACTCGCACATTTGGTAGGTATCTATCACGGCAATCTAAACAAGTTTCCTATGGTTACTCCATATACGATTTGCGATGCTTGGATGCTGCTTTGTGCTGGTCCGGTCTCAGAGGCCTCTTGGGACAACATTCATTATATCTAAGACATGTGCACATCCGCTGGCAAACTTCGATGGGAGCCTAGCTATATGCGAGTGTACAGAAAAATCCATTCTATGCCAGCCAGCTTCTTTTCCAATACAAACACATCGCATTGAGCAGCTCGTCGTGTATGTGTATATATATATATACATATATCAGTCTGTAACTTGAAGTATTGGGTTTTGTGGGGATTTGGATTGGATTGGGTTCTCTGCTACGAACCAGACCGAAGACCACGATGACGATGGCAGAAGCAGCAGCCAGGCCACCAGCCAGCCAGCCAGCCCATTATCGTTGTAGTTGCGTGTAGCCCAAAAGCAATTTGATGGATTAGTTTTAATACAACAGACGCTCAGTCTCTCAGGGTAAGTAAGAGTTGGATAGATGGATGATGGTTGGATGGATAACGCTCTTGGGTTCGTCTCTATTCGGTTTCCATGCCATTCCTTGGCCTTCTTTTCCATTTGATTCGATTTCATACGATTGTGTACTTCTTTTGGTGGTGGCAAAATCACACATAGAGGGAGAGATATATGTGTGTTTATTCTACATTTATATATATATGTGTGTGTATGTGTGTGTGTGTGTGTGTGTGTGTGTATATAACAGTTAAAGTATTGGAAAAGGTATAAAACCACAGCATCAACCACACCATCATTGATGGGTGAGTGTGGTGCTAATGGCAAAGGTTGTTCTCAACGCTTTTTGGGTGGGAGTGTCGGGCGGGGACTTTGGAATTTCCTTGGAAGCTCCTCGGGTTTGACGATGACTCGACTCGACTCGACTCTATTATATTATGCTTTTTCAGCAGGGCTATCGGACGACTGACTGACCAGCAGCGACAGAAACGCAGCGAAAACTTTTCTCGAAATGTTCTTTGCCTTTGCGGTCTGGCATGAAGCTGCAGGGAGGTTCTCAGGGAGAGGGGGCGCTAAGCTAAGCCCTTGGCAACCTTTAGAAAACGAGCTGTGTAAATCGCATCGACTATGGGACCAGGGAGGAGAAAGCAGCAGCATTGAAGAAAATGACCTTTCCTTGTGCCATTTCATGACTCCGCATAGAAGAAGCTACACAGACACACACACAAACACACACACACACACAGAGGGGATTGTGCGCTGGGATTACTCACATCGAACCGCACAGAGAGCTAAGCTCATCTATTATGAACTTTTTCTGGAGCGTCAGTATGCGGGGATTTGGCCATAGAATTTATTATGGTTTGAACAGAACACCCTCAGACTGGAGTTAGTATTTCCCATTACCTTTTGGTGATTATGTGCGGGCTTTGCCCTTGAATGCTGCTCCCTCGACTGGGGTATCCATCTATCTCGTCCCGTATCTCCACATCTTGCGCTCTCATTGTTGTGTTGCTATAATCTATATACGATGTACGCCAGCAGCAGCACTTGCTCCTCCATCTAACTGTCTGTCTCTCTGTCTGTCTGTCTGTCTGTTTGTCCCTGTGTCGTTTCCTCTGATTATCTGACGCTTTGTCAGTCTGTGGGGACCTGTGTTTTTCCTAGTAATTTCCTTTGTGCCCTTTTCGCCTCTCTAGTGGCCATGCCGTTGCCCGATACACTGGGTTTCGATGCCAGTGCCCTCAATGGCTGGCCCATGGCAGCGACGCTACGTCGCAGTTGCAGTCGCCGTCGCCGTCGCAGTCAACGTTAGCATTGGGCTCTTCGTAATGCTAAGCCCCTCACCCCTCGCTGCTGCGAGTTTATTGCCGTTTCCATATCTGGGTTTTATATCTCGAGCTGCCGAGTGGATTTCGTGAGTGAGGCATACTCGTACATATCCATGCAGTCAGTCAGTCCTTCTCGATGGTGGTGGGAAATCAGTTCGAAAACTGGAAATAAAGCAAGGGAACAGACGAAGCAAAACCGAAGAGAACCGATCGGGTGGGAGATTTTGAGACTGTAAGAGAGAAAGAGAGAGATAATGTCAGTGACTGTGCATGAAAATATGTGATGATCTGCGTAGATAATGTTGGATATAAATGGGGTATATGTAGATATATAATTATATATCAATATAATTGATGTAATTGAGATATGTCCCATATCTAGGCATTTCCCTTACTTAAAACTTCCCTGAACTTGCACATCTCTAGCCAACACACAATTGGAATGATTTACTTTTGCCCCTAAGAAGATTCCAAAGGCTTCGTTGCGAAGCTCACACCAAAATCGAACCCAAATGAAATCCAATACATACCAATGGATGGTTGGATGGATGGATGGGTTGGCAAAGACGATTTGTATTTATAGCCAGTGTTCCGAAAAAGAGTCGAAGCAGCTAAACGATTGAGCGTATGGACTGAATGGCTGAATGACTGAATGACGAACTGGTTCGATGCTCTCGAGGATTTTGTGGTGGTGAAGAGGGTCAGAGCAGAGCAGAGCAGAGCAGAGCGTCCTCTCGACATCTTTGCACAATAAAGATAGATTAGCATCTATCGAAACGAGCTGGAACCGAAGTTGATTGTACGGATACGATGTACGAGGCGAGGCGAGGCGGCATTGTGCGGGTTGCTTGTTCGGTCGAGCGGCGCATGACTGAAAGCTGAAAGCATCATCAAGCATCAGCATTCCCAGCATTGGCATTGGCATCGGTATCGGCATCGGCAACAGAACCTGCAGAATCTCCCCTGGCTGGCCTCCCTCTAGAGAACAAACTGTTTGGAACTGCGACACTCAAGTGCCATCATCATCGGCCGATGTCTATGGAATGGAATTGAAGCCATGCCAGGAAAGGCGGCAGCAGCACAAAACACCATCCAGTGGCATCTCAAAGCCCAAGAGGCTTATGCAGGGCCGACAAACCAGTGAAGTGGAGGAGAACCGAGCCGAGCCGAGCCGAGTCGAGCCAGCTATAAAGTAGAGGCAGCTGCCCCGATGTTCGATGTTGGGTACCCGATTTCGAGGCTACAATAGCAGAGAACACCGACACACAGCCTGAGACGTGTTTCAGCTTCATCATCATCATCATGTTCAGTCGGTTGCTTCTCACGTTTTCCATTCAGTATGTATCTGCAGCTGTATCTATATCTGTACTCTAGATGAACGGGTATTCGTATAGCCACTCGACACGATAACCTCGCTTCCACCCCATACTGGCACTGGGTCTGTGTTTTTGGCTCTATGCGAGTGTAGGAGCGCCATTCATATTTGGCATACAATGGCGAACGATTATGCCTTGCCATGGGTTGACTATCCTCATTCGTGTATTATGTGCACTCGATGATTAAAAGGGTCGCTTTGGTTGAACTTTTGTGTGCAAAATTAAAGTAAGTAAATCAAATGGAAACGCTGCGAAAGTTCCCCTTCTAAATGACTCCTTGGGCAATACAAATCTTTATAATGAGATCTGTAAATGATGCAGTCATAGCTTAGAGGACACCCCAAGCCAAATGATTTCTATTATTACAAGAGCTGTTATTGTGAAGCACAAAGCACTGTCCATCGATTGGGATTCCAGAAAATCCATTTTGATCAAGCTCTCAACTATGACATTCCGTGAAAATATTGGGCACCTTCCCAATGTTTCTGGGAACTTAAATAGAATAAAACTGTTCGGAAATTGTAGCTGAAAGTTTTCTAAAAGTTTCCAATTATAATTATCCAAGAAGTGCACATGTTTCCATGCCTTAACTTCATTTATTTAGTTCCCAGTCTGCCACCGATCTCAGAATCATTTTGTAGCATCTTTCAGGCAAAAGCTGCAGCAACTGTACCCATAAGTTCGGGTAAAGCTGCCAGGTAAACAGCTCCAGGTTCAGCAGAGTTTGAGTACTAGCTGATATACAGCCTGTCTGGTCTGTCCCTGGCCCGTATATCCCTCAACAGCAATTTCGCTCGCAGCGTTTTATGTCAGAGCTCTCAACGCGCGCGGGTGGGTTTCCAGGGGGGGGGGGGGGGGGCTGTAAGCTGCCCGGCAGTCGTGTGGCAGTAACCTGAGTCGTGTCGGGGCCTTGCCTGCTCAACATTGTCGCTTTAACTGTGCGCTGCATTGATGTTGCTTCTTTATCGGAGCTCACAAACCATTACCATTACCAAAGTCCGCCCCATTCCCTATACCCTGTACCCTATACGGTTCGTGCCGCTAACCCTACACTCGTAGGTTTTCTGCAGCGACTCCGAGCGTGGAGCAGGTATAGTCAAGCCGTCAGTCAGTCCAGTCTGACGTCGGTCGGAAATCCTTGAAATGAAAATCCCGAGCTGAGGAGGGTTGCAAGCGTAATGGGAAACTTTACCCACAATCGAGGAACGGTTGGAGATGGCGCTGGGGCTGGGGCTGGCGAACGTCTACGTTTTGTGCAGCGCTTCCAGCGCTCTATGGCCCCGTTGTGTAATCGTAGCTCCTTCCATATCTATGTGTGTGTGTGCGTGCCAGAGTGTGTGTGTCCCACGTTGGGATGCTGCTGGCATCCGTTGCTACCCCACGCCACTTGCCTGTAGCAATTCTACCCATCTAGAATTGATGTAGCACCTACACAGGGCTCTCCGTCGGTCTCTTCCACGCACGTTCAACTTTATGCCACGCCACCCCCTCGCACATCGGGAAAACCCTGCAGGACATTCCAATCCAAGCGAATGGCCAGGGCGGGCGGTCGCTCGCGTAAAGTTTTAGAGGACGAACATAAAGTTTTAGCGCTGATTTTGCTTCTCACTTTGTCGAATAGCCTGAACCTGAACAAAGACAGCCAGAATGAACAGAACAGAATACTTCCCCCACGAAGGGGGTAGTTGTGGGGGTTACAGGTGGGCAATACATATTCTGACATATCAACCGAAAAAAGTTTGCACTTTTTGTAAGCGAAAGCAATCGCATAAATGAAGGATGTATGCACATAAAAGGGATTCATTTGATAGCTATGTGTACATGGGTGTAGATTGAGAGAGGGATCCTCTAGTCACTCTATATTGGTGGTTAACAAATAATTCTTAGGTACGTAAGCAAAGAGCAAACATCAAATGTATATGCAAATGTTTTAGTTATAGTATAATCATGAACCTTCTTCTTTAATTTATGCAAAAAACTGCACCGCACTTATAAATATTAACAAGTTTTTGTAGCATTCGCTTTTTCAATTGATTTTAATCATTTAAAGTGGTACGAAATACGTTATAACATTATTTTTTAAATATTTTGGTTACTTTGTACTCTCTTTAATTGAATAAAGAAGTTAAAAATTGCGACTGCCTTCAGTTAAACAATTACAATTCATTTTATACTTTGTACAAGAACTTTTCGAGCAACTTTTTGACGCATCTTTTCCAAGTGGAATTCAATTATTTCAGCAACTAATTGTTCTTAATGTAATATGTACATTTAGCTTCTGGCTAATATTTGGTACATTTTCTACTACTGTTTCCTCAACTTTAGGTCATTCTTCTTAAAGATCTGCTCCAGCTGAACAAGCAGCCCGATGGCGCGATAGTTTTTCTCCATGAGCGCAAAATCCTCCAGCGGCTTGAGCAAAAGCAATGCATCCTCATAGTTCTGCACACAGCGAGGCAGCTCTGGCTCTAAGTCTGCCTCATTGCTTGGAGTAGCAGCAGCCACTGGCGGTGCAGCTGTGGCGGCATGGAGGGACTCAACTTTCTGTATCTTCAGTGGTTGAGCAGCCGACTCAGTCAGGTGTTGACTCGAACGCTTTGCTGGCTGCGTGGGATTCTCGGGTTCATCCTCATCGTCATTGATTTCGATCAGTTCGGGCTGCTCCTCAATGGCAATGCAGTCATCGTCTTCATCAGCGTCAACACAATCTTCGTTTGCTTTGTCCGAAGAGTCCGCTCTTGGAGACAACAACACACTTGGACCCTCATTTGCCTTCGCTTCATCCACCTCCGCATTTGTCTTGGGATCCAGACGCACACTGGAGCGCTCCTGCTCCGCATAGCGACTATCGTTACGACCGCAGTAGCTGACAATGTCCCGCAGATCCAGGGACAGGGGCACTCTGCGATGGTTTAGCGGCACGCCCTGCGAGAAGCTAAAGTTGTAGTGGCTCTTGAAGTGATTGAAGAAGATTTTGTCGGGAAAGAAATTCTCAATTTTCAGTATGTCGCGCAGACTGATGGCCACAGAGCGCAGGTTGTCCATATCGGGTCTGCCCTTTTGGTGGATCTGTGAGCGTGCGATGTACTCGTAGAGGGCCTTCTCCAGAAAGTTAATCTTTCGCTTGCGTCGCTGCTGAACCTCCACGAGGGTGGCCTGGTTCTGACTAGAGGCGGCCACCAGTGTCTTGGTGCGGTACAGGGAGCGTGGTGAAGCCAAGTGTCCGTCTTGGCTCGTGGTTGGTGTAGCTGCTGGTGCTGGCACTTCGGGACTATTGACCATATTCTTGCACATGGACGTGTGCCGGCCGCAGTAGGACATAATGTCGCTGAGGTCCATGGAGCGTGATGGTTTGCGTGTCATGGTGATCTTTCGATTCGATAGCGTGATGTTGTAGGCAGCCTTGAAGTGATTGATCCACGGCTTGTTCGGCATGAAGCCCTCGATGTGCATGAGATTCCGAAACTCCACCGCCTTGGTGCGTATCAGCTCCTCGTTGATGTCCACGTGCAGATAGTACTGCGCCCTTTTCATGTACTCGTACAGGCAGAGGCCCAGAAAGTTGAGTTTGCGACCGCGCACCTCCTCATTGGGCGGATCGCTGTGGCGGCGCGAGGCTTCGTAACACTCCATAATGGCCTCGCGATTGGACACGATGCTCTTGATCTGCTCCCAGCTGCAGTTGAAATTCTTGGCTATCTTGCTGTACAGCGGCAGAATGTCGTACTGCCGAATGACCGCCACACGCTCCTCCAGCGTCAGCACGTTTCTTGTGCGTTGTACGCCGCCGTCGTCAAACTGTTTGCCTTCATCCTGGAAGAAGGGAAGTTGGTTAGTCAAGGGCAGGCTAAGGTTTGTGCGATGAGAGAGGCAAATACGGATACTAATCAAGCTTCAAACGATACAAAACCCAAAAGGTAACAGTGCCAACAGTTCTACTCTGACTCTCTGGTAAGTAATTCTAGTCTACTTACACCATTTCCACACTGTTCCTGCTGTATTTGTTCATCTGCAATCGCTGACAACCCAACAATAAGCGCGAGCTTTACGATTTTATTCATTCTTGATTGGAAAATCGTTTCTAGTCGTATAAAGCCCTTGCTTAATCGACTGTTTACAGTGCGATAATATCAAAGCTATCGCTCTCTCTCTTAGCTGTCAGGCCCGAATACTTACGTCAGAGAACATTTTCTACAGATACTGCGCTCACACATACGGTTACATCAGTCTGTTTCTCTCTCTCTCTCTCTCTCTGTGGCTGTCTCTTTTTGCGGGGATGCGACTCTCGCGCTGCTTGTCCGTTGATATCAATGTCTGTGGGTTAGTAAAGCACATTAAATTTAGCCATTACTAATTAAATACTAATGCTAGAGATAAATACACACCTGTGCACGGGCTCAGGGGCGCTGGTTTTCCAATTTTCACAAATCTGCTGCAGGTTTTTAGGCACACAAACACGCATCAAAGCAGCAGAACGGCAAAACAGCTCCGGATCATGTGGAGCGGCGAAAAAAACTGTTGAGCGAGCAGGAAAAAAATGTGTGTCGCAGTCGAATTGTAGTCATCTCTCTCTTGCTCTTGCTCGAAAACCTGTTTGGCGAGCGTGTTATGCGAGAGAGAAACGGCTCTTTTGCAATCGCTCTCAATGCACACACACACATGCCTTTGCTTTTTGCTTGCCGTGTGTTGGTGCTTCCATTCTATTTATAGCGTGGGCGGCGGCGTTGGAGCGAAAATGTTGATCTGATCGGGCGGCGCTCTCTTGCAATTAACTTTTCAAATATTGTTTGATTCTGCCTAAAATTCTCTCTTTTGTGTGTTAGTGCAATACAGTGTTTGGTCTAGTAGATAAAAATGTATGGATATATGTACGTGTGTATTTAGTACTCCTTTCCCACTTTCAACCGGCAGCCTTTTATCTCGTTTCATAGTGAATTTCTGGCGGACATTCAGTTTTAATAGAAGCCCCATTGCCAGTTGTCTTTACTTCTAATATTTTCGATAACTTTGCACAGTTAGTTTCACTAATTGCCATTCAATTTATGTAATATTTGTTTGTTTACATTTTGCTGGAGCATGCAACGGAATTTGCACATAGTCTTTTTCTCTTATTTTTACTTTATCAGTTTCTGGTCACATTGAGAAGATTACTTTTACATTCTACACTACATGTCACTCTACCTTACTTTACAAATGTAATGTAATTTTGTGGCCAGCTACCAGTAAAGCTCGTCAGATGTCGCCACGAAGTCATGTAGTTTGGCGGTGTAGAAAACAAAGAAACTTTTTTTTGAAACCTAAAATTAAAATAAATTCGAATAAATTACCACTGCTTCAAATATTATGAGCAAACAAAATTGAAATTATAAAAAAGTTGAGCGCATTTTTGGTTTTAAGGCATAGGAATATAAAACAAGGGTCACCCACCTTAACATTGAATCGAATGGGAAAACCCATTGACCACATCAAAAACTAATCGAGCGAATCCACAACTGAATTTTAATTTCCGCTACAGTACGACATGGAAAAGACAACAAATTAACATATTAGCAGGCCGTAAGGCAGCCCAGAGTTCGACTCCCACAACACCTGCGAGGAGAATGTGTGAAAATGTTTCGGCCGCGAGGAACCTCAAGAAGCGCACTTCCGCTGCTGGCCTAGATAATAACCGTGACAACAAAAAAAAAAAAAAAACTAGTAGCAACTGCAACTGCAACCCCTTAAACAAGTTGCAAGCATTTGGACTGTGCAACGAAGCGCAGCCTGAAGAGAGGAAAGGTGTTGCAGGCCTCCCCTTTTGGGCTCGCTGATGCGTTGGCCGAGGGAGTTCGGGTTCAAAGCCAAAACCGAATAATTGTTGCGCAACAAGGCGCAGCAGCGGCCAGACTCATTTCAGTGATTTTTTCCCATGAGGAAACGCGATCAGCCAGCCATAAAATGTGGGAACAAATCAACGAGAGACTCCAACATGATTGACACTGGGCCAATGGCTGCTCTGCTCTGCCCATGGCAATGGCTTCATTACGAGCCCAAAAAAAACAGCTCCCACAGTAATAACACTTTTGGTTGCTGGTTGCTTGGAAATTGCACTTCGTGCTGCCTTCCAATTCATGGTAGCCAAAGTAATTCTATCATGGATCATGTGCTCCGCTTCAAAGTCTTTGCCGCTGGTTCAACTGGGAAGGTTCAATGCACGCGGGTCACGACTTTGACTTCGACTTCGATTTCGACTTCGACTTCGACTTGGACCATAAATCCGGAGCAGACCCGTCTTTAACTTGTGCACTTTGAGTGACTGTTTGAGAGCAGATAGCCAGACAGGCAGACAGGCAGACAGACAGCCAGGAAGTGAAGCCTCCAGTTGCTCCTCCAGCTTGCCTACTTGCCCCATTTGCCATTTGTCAAATTTTCATTAGTTGGCCATAAATTGAAATCACGCGGCATTTGTTTTGGGCCAGCATACAAATAAATTTCAAGCTGATTCTCACGATCGGCAGATCGATCGCGGCTGCAGCAAAACTTTCTAGCTGTTCACACCAGCTGGTCCAAGCCACCTGCAAGCTGAAGCTGGAGCCATGCCTGAGGGAGGCAGCCTGGCTGTAGCTGGTCTTCGTCTCTCTGTGTGTCTGTGTGTCTGACTAAAAGCGAATTCCAGTTGCAAACCCATTTTTGGCACGATCATAGTGATGGCCATTTAGGGAAGAAGTCAGCCAGCCAAGAGAACGCCGCACGAAAGATTTTCGAGGCTAGGCATTGATTTTTTGTTGCAGTCTTTTTTTCTTGCCAATTGGCGGGCAGAACGCACACGTGGATGTGGCTGTTGGCTGTTGGCTGGTGGCTGGTGGCTTGGAGGAGTGGCAAAGGCGACTCTTGCAGGTGTGTGCCTGGATCGTGATTGCTTTTGCTTTGCTGGCAGTTCAACGGGTTGACTCGGACGCCAGCTACACATATCGACTGCATATCCAGCTGTGAGAACGCACCCACTTGGCCAGCAAACACACAGACACAGACTGTACACACACCCACAATCCATTGGGGAGCAGGTCGAACGAGGCAAAGATCGTGCCCATGCGGTTGGTTCGGTTTTCGGAATTGGATATGTGCACTCCCCTCTCTCTCTCACCCTGCCGCGATCTCTCTCTCTCTCTCTCACCGTTTCCGTGCTGATTGATTAATCATTGCCTGTAATTTGATTTTGTGCCTTAAACCCTGCAACGGCAAGCCTCTTTTCAGCGCTTTGATTGATTGTTTCATTGCATTTTTTGAGTTTTGAGCTTTAGACATACGACACGACATGTGTTCTCCCTTCCTCTGCATTTTTCATATTTCTTTTTCTGCACGTCAGCTTAGCACACAGCTGATTAGCAACTCAACGGCGAAGGCTGCCGTTTGACAGGCACAAAGAGAGAGCTGAAGAGTGGGAGAGAGCTGACAGCTGGCTGACGCTTGAGTTCATCGATAACCAAAAAAAAGCTATGAATTAATCGATTTCTTGTTTGCTTTGAATTTGAATTTGAATTTGAAGAACAAAAAGAACAGCTACACAGAATTAATAATTATAATCATAAAATATTTACAAAAGGTTTAACAAATATTAAATGTTAATTCCCCAGCATACATTTCAGCTATCCAAAAAATATAACCCCAGCTAGCTGACACCTCTCTCTGCCAAACAATCAATATAAATAATAATCATAATAATATGCCCATATAAACCAACAGGCAGATCTGCGAGGCGTTGCCCGTGACTTTGAAAGGGGCAGGCGACGCGTTTGTGGCAAGGGCAAGTCAAGCGTTGCACAAAGGAACGCTGAATGTTAAGGCGTTTACTTCGCACAACAGGCGCAGGCAGAGGCAGAGGCAGAGGCAGAGGCAAATGTTGAGCCTGTCAGCTGTGACGTCAGCGACGTTTCTTCTAATCGAGATGCTGCGAGGACAACCCCTAATTGAGGTTGAGTCTGCGCACCCCAAACCCGGAAAAAAAAGCGTGGAAGTCTGCGCGCAAAAGTGCAGCTGAGGATTTTGCGCTGTGACGCAATCGTGGGAAAACAAAAAATCAAAGCAGCAGCAACCCTAGCCGAAAAGCCATGACAACCCTTACACAGAGCGAAAGAGAGGGAGAGGGAGAGGGAGAGCAGCAACAGCTGTTCCCTGGTCTGGTCAAGATTTGCTTGTGGTCGGTCCGGTCCTGCCGCTGTTTGGTGATGGCCTAGGATGATTGGATGTCAACGAGTGGCGTACCGCGAAGCTACTACGCAGATACAAATGTATCTGTAGCGGCAAATCAGTCCAATTAAAAATAATAAACGTGCAAAAGCACGGCAGCAGCTTGTTAGTGGGAGATGGCAGATTGCCGCGCGAAAACAATAGAGGCAGCTCCTCCTGCTGGCCAGCCGCTGGGCGCGTGGGAAAGTCGCAACAACAAAAAAATGTTACAAAAATTCTCGGCACCTGCTGCTGCGTTTTCTGGCCACTTTTGCGTCTATTTTGAGTGATTTTTCCTGCGCTTTGGTGGCTTCAAGTGGAATTCCAACAGCAGAGAGAGAGCGAGCGAGCGAGACTGGCAATTGACAATGCCATTTGGCAGGAGCTCATTAAGCTCCATTTATATGCAACATGTGAGCCATGACTGGTCCAAAAGGAGTCAATGGTTGACAAGTTGTTGTCGCTGTCAAATGATTTACTAACCCGCCCGAGGTTGGGCAGCCTCAGCAGCATGCCGCGAATTGAAAGGAAAAACTGACAGAAATCGGAGCAAGCAAAGGCCTGGATCAGGGCTATTCAATAACAAATGAAAGCTGATGGTTGACACCAAACAAATCTGCATGGCTCCAGGAACCCACCTCAGATGTGCCCAGAAATGATCTAAGAATTTCACAACAAATAAACTGCAGCACTTTACATTGGTTTGAACTGGTTTCTACAATCTTTCCTTTGTTTTCTTAGCACATTGATTGCTTGATTGCTTCTGCCAGAGCTTCACCCACCGCAGCTCTCTTTGACCAAGGGGTCAGCTGGCAGTCAATCAGCCAGCGAGAAGGTCTGCCCTGGCAACTGGTTTTTTCCAATTTTTGCAATTAGCTGCCACCGTCGCGCTGTGTTCACACGAGCTGCCAGATGCGGACATTGCTGTTTTGTCAGAGCTGTGATTTTGAGTAATCATCGAGTGGCGGCAAAAGCCATGCAGACATGACCCACAAAAACATGACAAATCCATCTGCGAGAGTCTCTTCTGCAGCGTAAAGCAAATGCTCATAGTTGCAGCTTTTTGGCTTCAACTTTTGCCAGAGCTCCTTCGGACAGACTGTCTGGCTTCCAGCCACCTTTGACTGGTCTTTGAAGCTGCCAGGAAACTGCCAGCTAATCCCCGTTCGCACTTCTCGTAATTCTCTAATTAATAGACATGAGCAAAGGCAGTTTGAACTCTCGAAGACATGGCCACATGGCAACAGAGTCGCCATTAGCCAAGCTCCCAAAATGCAGCCAGAGTCGCCGGACTGTCGTTTGCCCTGTCGGCTTCATGTCAATTAGATGTTTGTCTTCGATCAAGTGCCCGACATTTGTGGCACTCCCAACTGAGGCGCTGACCCATTGACCGAATCGATAAACCTTGCCCCAGCCTTTGGTCTCGTGTTCAAAGTACTTCGATTGCCCTTAATGGAAGCGCAGGACGACGCAGGAGCTGCTCCTTGCTGCGATTGCTATTGATTTCCCAATGATTGTACAAATTGATTGATTGCCATAATTGGACAGAGGTCTAACGAGCGGCATTAACCGACTTTGACACGCGGGAGTGCAGTCTTTGGGTGTAGCTGGAGCCCAGAGCCAGGAGCCAGTTGACAGCCACTTGAGAGCGATTTTTGGTGCTCTTTGTGGCAGTCTTTGGGGTTTTTATTTGCAGTTCTTTTTGAGTTTTTATTTGACATTTTGTGGGTTTTTTGTGGGGCT